TAAAGCAATTCTCCCACCTCAACCTCCCAAGTAGCTGAGAGTACAGGTGGGTGCCACCATGCCTGGCTAATTTTTGTATTTTTAGTGGAAACAGGGTTTCACCATGCTGGTCAGGCTGGTCTCAAACTCCTGTACTCAAGTGATCTCGGCCTCCCAAAGTCCTGGGATTACAGGCATGAGCCATCGCGCCCAGCCATTTAGTAATTTGTCTTTAAGATTCTTCCATGTCTTTTCATGGCTAGATAACTCATTTCTTTTTAGCACTGTATAATATCCCCTTATCTGGATGTACCAAAATGTATCCATTCACCTACTGAAGGACATCTTGGTTGCTTCCAAGTTTTGCAATTATGAGTAAAGCTGCTATAAACCTCTGTGTTTAGGTTTTTGTGTGGGCATAAGTTTTCAAACACATTTAGCTAAATACCAAGGAGCACAATTGATCATATGATAAGAGTATGTTTAGTTTCATGAAAAACATCAAGCTGTCTTCCAAAGTGGCTGTATCATTTTGCATTCTCATCAGCAGTGAATTAGAGTTCCTATTGCTATACATCCTTATTGGGTTTTGTCAGTATTTTGGATTTTCACCATTCTCATAGGTGGATGAAAATATTTAATTTGCAATTCCGTAATGAAGTTGAGCATCTTTTCATATGCTTATTTGCCATTTGTGTATCTTCTTTGGTGAGGTGTCCAGATCTCTTCTCCATTTTCTAATTGGGTTGTTCATTTTCTTATTGTTGAGGGTTTTGTTTTGCTTTGCTTTGTTTGTTTTGGTTTTAAGAAACAGGGTCTTGCTCTGCCACCCAGGCTGGAGTGCAATGGTGCAATTACAGCTCACTGCAACCTCAATCCTCCCACCTCAGCTTCCCGAGTAGCTAGGACTAGGACTATAGGCACACACCACCATGCCAGGCTAATTTAAAAAAAATTTTTTTTTGTAGACATTGCTGTGTTACTCAGGCTGGTTTCAGACTCTCAGCCTCAAGCAGTTTTCCTGCCTCTGCCTCCCAAAGCGCTGGGATTATAGGTGTGAACCACCGTGCTTGCCCTTATTGTGGAGTTTTAAGAGTTCTTTGTATATTTTGGATAACAGTCCTTTATTAGATATGCCTCTTGGAAATATTTTCTCCCACTCTGTGGCTTTTACTATTGTTTTAAATAGCTATCTTATACATTATCTACAATAAAACATATTTACACTTTTCATAGTTTATATATTTCCAAATACCCTAGCCTTCATCCATAGATATACTCTTCAGTTATATGAGTGGGTGCTGTTATTAACAGCTCACCTCACTTGGAAGGCCAGGAGATACCCAGTCTGTCCCAGACAGCTCCATGGAAGTTACTACACTTTTTTTTTTTTTTTTTTGAGACGGAATCTCTCTCTGTCGCTTAGGCTGGAGTGCAGTGGCGTGATCTTGGCTCACTGCAACTTCCGCCTCCCAGGTTCAAGCGATTCTCCTGCCTCAGCCTCCCAAGTAACTAGGGCTCCAGACACGTGCCGTCACGCCCGGCTAATTTTCTGTATTTTTGGTAGAGACAGGGTTTCACTGTGTTAGCCAAGATGGTCTCAATCTCCTGACCTCGTGATCTGCCCGCCTCGGCCTCCCAAAGTGCTGGGATTACAGGTGTGAGCCACTGCGCCCAGCCTACTACACATATTTTAAGTTACAATGCCTCCCACCAAAGAGAAAGATTTAGGTTCCAGGTAGGAAATATTTTTCTTCTTTTTAAATTTATTTTTTATTGTTTTGAGACGGAGTCTCACTCAGTTGCCCAGGCTGGAGTGCAGTGGCGCCATCTCAGCTCACTGCAACCTCCACCTCCCAGGTTCAAGCAATTCTACTGCCTCAGTCTCCCGAGTAGCTGGGATTACAGATGCAGACTTCATCCTATTAGTAGAGACCAGGGTTTCTCCCTGTTGGCTAGGCTGGTCTCAAACTCCTGGCCTCAAGTGATCCTCCCGCCTAGGCCTCCCACAGTGCTGGGATTACAGACGTGAGTCACCGCACCGGGCCTTATTTTATTATTATTATTTTGGAGACAGGTTCTCACTCGGGTACCCAGGCTGCAGTGCAATGGCTTGATCACAGCTCACTGCAGTCTCAACCTCCCTGCGCTCAGGTGATCCTCCCACCTCAACCTCCTGAGTAGCTGGAACTACAGGCATATGCCACTATGCCCAGCTAATTTTTGTATTTTTTTTGTAGAAATGCGGTTTCACCATGTTGCCCTGGGTGGCCTTGAACTCTTGAGCTCAAGCCATCTTCCCACCTCTGCCACCCAAAGTGCTGGGATTACAGGCCTGTACCACCACGCCCGGAAGTTACATTTTTAATTTTCTGTCAGACTGTTCATTATTGGTGTAAAGAAGCACAATTGGGTTTTTTGCATGTTGATCTTGTTCTCTGCAACTTTGCTGAATTTTCTCTAACAGTTTTTTTTTTTCTAATAGTTTTTTTTTTGGTAGATTCTTTGATATTTTCTATATATAAGATAATATAATCTGCAAGTAGGGATAGTTTTATTTCTTCTTTTCCAGTTTGGATGCCTTTTATTTCTTTTTCTTGCTTAGTTGTTCTGGCCAGAAATTCCAGTACAATGTTGAGTAGCAATGGTAAAAGGCATCTTTGTCTTATTCCTGACCTTAGTGGTTGTTCCTGACCTTCACTGTTGAGTTTTATGTTAGCTGTGGGTTTTTCTTAAATGTTCTTTATCATGCTGAGGATGCTGAGGAAGTTCCTTTCTATGTCTAGTTTTCTGAGTTTCTACTTTTCATGAAAGGGTGATGAATTCTGTCAAGTACCTTTCCTGCATCAATTGAGATAACGTGTTTTTTCCCTTCATTTTATTAATGTGGTATATTACATTGATTTATTTTTCTTTGTTTCTTTTTTTGAGATGGGGTCTTGCTCTGTCTCCCAGGCTGGAGTGCAGTGGCTGGCTCACTGCAGCCCCTGCCTTCTGGGTTCAAGCAATTCTTCTGCCTCAGCCTCCCGAGTAGCTGGGATTACAGGCGTGCACCACCACGCCCAGCTAATTTTTGTATTTTTAGTAGAGATGGGGCTTCACTGTGTTGGCCAGGCTGGTCTCGAACTCCTGGCCTCAGGTGATCCATCCACCTCAGCCTCCCAAAGTTCTGGGATTACAGGCGTGAGCCACCAGGCCCGGCCTACATTGATTTATTTTTCTTATGTTGAACACCCTTACATTCCTTCAATAAATCTAACTTGGTCATAGTATTCTCCTTTTAATATGCCGTTGGATTCAGTTAGCTCGTATTTTGTTGAGGATTTTTGCATCGATATTCATAAGGGATGTTGTTCTGTAGTTTTCTTGTGGTCTTTTTGTCTGGCTGTGCCATCAGAATGATGCTGGTCTCATATAATCAATTAGAAACTGTTCCCTTTTCTATTTTTTCGAACGGTTTGAAAGGATTGATGTTACCTTCATTTTGGTGTTACCTTCATTTAGTGATCTGAGAAAAAGAAAGGACTGGTGTTAATTATTTAAATGTTTGCTAGCATTCACCCTGAAGCCTTCTGATCCTGGACTTCTGTCTGTTGAGAGGTTTTTTGTTGTTGTTGTTGTTTATTTGTTTTTTGAGATGGAGTCTTGCTCTGTCTCCCGAGGTGGAGTGCAGTGGCACGATCTTGGCTCACTGCAACCTACGCCTCCCGGGTTCAAGCGATTCTCCTGCCTCAGCCTCCCAAGTAACTGAGATTACAGGCATGCGCCACCACGTCCGGCAATTTTTTTTTAATTTTTAGTAGAAATGGGGTTTCCATGTTGGCCAGGCTGGTCTGGAACTTCTGAACTCAGGGGATTCACCCGCCTCAGCTTCCCAAATGCTGGGATTACAGGCGTGAGCCACCGCGTGCGGCCTTTTCTTTGAGACAGAGTCTCTCTCTGTCTCCCTGGCTGGAGTGCAGTGGCATAATCTAGGCTCACTGCAATCTCTGCCTCCCACGTTCAAGCGATTCTCCCACCTCAGCCTCCTGAGTAGCTGGGATTACAGGCGCGCGCCACCATGCTTGGCTAATTATTTTTGCATTTTAGTAGAGATGAGGTTTCACCATGTTGGCCAGGCTGGTCTCCAACTCTTGAACTCAGGCGATCCGCCCGCCTGGGCCTTCCAAAGTGCTGGGATTACAGGTGAGAGCCACCGCGCCTGGCCATGAATGCCATTTTTTGATAATGAATAATAAAAGTTATGCAGATCTTCTATATTCTTCTATCTAAATGTTGACACACCTTTATATCTAGAAATTTCGGATATAAAGCTCAGCCCGAGAGAACCCATCAAATGTTGGAGCTGCAAGGGGCTAGAAAGCATCACCAGACCTGGATTCGCGGGCGATGTTGGCTCAAGGTAGCACAGGACGTTGGCTCAGAGCTGGAAATTGAGGCCAGGTCTCCCGGCAGACCCACCCCACAGGACGACCAAGCAGGGCTTCACAGAGGAGTTGAGGTTTAGGTTTATATCTGTTGTTGAAAACCCGGTGAGCAAAAGACTGTGGAAAAAACACACGGAAAAGACAGGCGAAGGTGTGAGCTGGCTAGTGACAGAGAAGGGGGAACCCGTGGGGTCACTCCTTGACCCCACGCAGGACACTTAGACATCCACAGTGCCGGGGGAGAGGCCCCAGACGGGGCAGAAGACCCTTCCCCGGCCCTGGGGAACCCAAGATTTCCGAGAGTAAACGGACCTGTGCAAAAACCCACAAGGGAGACCAGTGGCCTGTGCCGGGCACTGCAAGGCCGCCCCGACCCCGACCTCACATGGGTCTCGGAGGCTTCAGGGACCCACCGGGCCGCGCGCCCCCCACCATCCCAGGTCTACCGCAGGGGAATCCTCCAGGCTTGCGAGCGCTTCCTAGGGCAGGAAAGCTTGTGCTGCAGCCCCGCCGCCCTCTCCCGGCGCGTAGCCCCCTCCCCGAGCCTTCGGGCCACGCAGCCAGGCCCGCGATCCCAGGAAGCCCATGGGGGTCGGCGCCGCCGGATCCCGCGCCGCGCCGAAGCCTGCAGCGCCCCGCGGTCGCCGTCTCTTGCACTGGTCAGGATGAATAGAGCCTGACAAAACCTGAGTTAATTGGCCGAGCGAATGTCCTTCGCGTCAGGAGAACACACCCGGAGAAGCCGAGGGAAATGTGGAGCAGGAGCAGCCAAAGTGGCCCATCGGCTCTCGAGCAGGGTTTGCGCGTCGCGGTCGCAAAGCTCCGTGAGTGCAGGCACCGCGGCACAAGCGCTGCCCCGGAGCTCCAGGAGGCGGCGGCGGGCTGGGCGTTCGCGATCCTGGAGAAACGACCGCGGGGCGTTGGGAGCATTTTGTTAAAAAGCCGGGAAGCTCAGGGCCGGTGTGGCCTTCGTTCTGGGCTGAGAACCCGAACTTTGGGCAGCTTCCTTTCCTTGCCTTTGGGAGTCCGTCTTCTTCAGCTCTGTGAGGCCCCAGCAGGTTCCTTTAGCGGGAGAAGTCAGTGGTCATGGCTGGATGAGATTGTGGTATTAGAGGGCTGTCAGCAACACCTTATCACAGCGGAGCCTTCGATAGCTCAGTTGGTAGAGCGGAGGACTGTAGTGGATGGAACTGTGGTAATCCTTAGGTCGCTGGTTCGATTCCGGCTCGAAGGACTTCGTGTACCATTTTTAGCCTCAATTTAATTAAATTGTCTCAAAGGGAAAGGCTTAGAGGCCTCCTGTGACTTAGCATGAGTACTGCTCTTAGACCAAAGGACTCACAGTAGTATGTAGTATACGGTAACGCTCTTTGTGCGTTCAGTGTAAATGTGGTAACGTGTTTTAGAATAAGGTTTTCTGCTTAAGCACACAATTATATGCCTGACTTTTAGAATCTTGCATATGGATGATACTATGCTAAATAAATGTCCTGAACTGCGGTTGATCCGCTGGTCAGTGAACTGTGCAGTGAACCTGTAAGGCAAAGGGAAAGAAACCAGCAGCAGGCGGGGGATTAGCTCAAATGGTAGAGCGCTCGCTTAGCATGCGAGAGGTAGCGGGATCGATGCCCGCATCCTCCACTTCGCATTTTGCGTCTCTCACACTAGAGAACACAAAATGGAGGGATCCCCAGCGCAATGGGCAAGGTGTTTCATTTTAGAGATACAAGACTGTTAAGCGATAAGGAGCTTCACACGATGTTTTTATTTCGCAGTTGAGTCCCAGTTTCTGCCACTTTATCTTTCCCGCCTCCTGGCAGGCAGGCCGTTAACCGTCTTCCGGGAAGACGCCGCTAGAATCCTCCGGCCGCGCCTGGCCGCCAGTCCCCAAACGACACTCGCTCAGGTACCCACTAACGTGCGAGGAACCCTGCGAGCTGACCAATGGTAGTGAGCTTTACTGGGCGGGTCGCCAGCTGCAGCCGCGGCCAATAGGCGAGAGACTTCTTGTTTCCTGGCAGAGCGGGGTCCCGGCACCGCGGCGCTCGGGTGTTTTTGGGGGCCCGGGTGGAGGGCCCGGGTGCCGGGGCCCGAGGTGCGGCCTCGCTAGCGGGAGAGGGAGCGGGATCACCGGCCCGGAGAGAGGTGAGGGGCTCTGCGCGGACTACGGGCCTCGCCAGCCCCGGCCCCGCCAGCCCCGGCCCCGCCCCCTTCTCTCAGCCCCTTCAGCCCAAGCCCTTCGAAGGCCACCCCGCCCCCGCCCCCCTCCCCCGCCCTGGCTTCCGCGGTGCCAACCCCGCGCAGCTCCGTGGCCTCACCTCTGACTCCTAGGCCCTCCCTGCCCAACCCCCTGCCGCGGGAGGTCGTCTCGACCCCTCCCATGCCTCCCAGTCCCACCCTGCCCAGGACAAGCCCGCTCGGTGTGAACGGTTCCCCGCGAGTCGAGGGTGGAGAAGCCAGCCTCCTGCCCCCGAGTGGTACTCTAGCAGCCCACCTCTTTTAGGGGTGCTCAGAACACCCATTACTCATCCACAACTACTAGGGTAGCTTTCGCAGGGTGCAGTGCTTACGGGGCGGAAGGGTTTGGAAACATCCCCATGCCCTGGCTGGAATGGAGCTCCTGTCGCTAGGTGAGCCCAGTAGCCTTTGGCTTGGCAGAGGCCACGCTGTTATAATTTTCCTCCATACTAGGCATAAGGTAGTAACAAAAAAGGAAGAACCAGCTCTTACAGGGCTCAGGGGAGCAACACGAGAATGTCCGCTCAGTACTTGAGGACAGAGGCTGGAGAGAGGACTACCCATTTACACTCAGAACCTCCGTTCCTCTCTCTGCTCTGTGCTGGAGAGTGCAGAGCCAGAGATCCAGAACGGCCCATCTCTAAAGGTGGCCATGTATGGTGGTGAGTGTATCTTGGCTAGGTTTGGGAAATCCGACCTCTCTGATTATATTCTCTAATCTTTGGGCTGCAAAGCAGCTGAGAGTTTAGTATTTTTCAACATAGTTAAGCCACTGTGTTTTATTTGGGAACAGCCAAGCTAAAGTAAAATGTGGTCCCTTTAGGTCATTTACAACCCTTAGTGTTGAAGTACAGAGTGCTGCTCTCTCTTGGCCTTTGCTGGAAGACCACTTCTGTGTTTTCTAAGATGGAGAGAGCCTTTTGTTTCATAGGGCACTCCCTAAGAATAGCTCTTATTTATCCAGAGATACCCAGAAAACTCTTCCCTTTCCTCTTTAACCTAACCCTGTTTTTCCCCAGCTCTCAGGGCCAGAGCGGGGCAAGAGGATGCTTTCCCAGCCCCACCATGGAGCTGCGCTGTGGGGGATTGCTGTTCAGTTCTCGCTTTGATTCAGGGAATCTAGCCCACGTGGAGAAGGTGGAATCTTTGTCCATTGATGGGGAAGGGGTAGGAGGTGGGGCGTCAGCCCTGACCAGTGGCATTGCCTCTTCCCCTGACTATGAATTCAATGTGTGGACCCGACCAGACTGTGCTGAAACGGAATTTGAGAATGGGAACAGGTATATGGAACGAAATGGAGGGTGGAAGAAGGCTCCAAACCCATGCTTCAGTTAGCCCTGTGCCTTACCTGTTCATAGCAGCATGCTACCTGTCCTCTTCTGACCCGTCCTCCCTCCTTTCTGCTTGCCAAATAGCCCTGTCCCAGTTTGGCTGGCTCCAGCTCTCCCACAGATCCTATCTCCAACCCTTCCACATACCTCTCTCTTACTCTGGTCCTCAGGTCATGGTTCTACTTCAGCGTCCGGGGAGGAACACCAGGAAAACTCATCAAGATCAACATTATGAACATGAACAAGCAGAGCAAGCTGTATTCCCAGGGCATGGCCCCCTTTGTGCGCACACTGCCCACCCGGCCACGCTGGGAACGCATTCGAGACCGGCCCACCTTTGAGGTAAGTTCTCCATGAGGAGGAAAGAAAGAATTGGGTGCTAAAAGTAGACAGGAAAGTAAAGCGTTTTTGTCCTTGATACAAGTATGAGGCAGGTGGGACAACAGGGTTAAGTATCAGCTTTTTCTCCAGTGTTAGCTGGAGTCCAAGATGAGCCCCCGCCTCAGGAAGCCTAGAAGGAGCCCCTTTTCATATAGAAAGTGTCAGAGGGAGGGAAGTTGGTAAAGGTGATAAGGGTGTGAGGTCAGGTCCTGGTGGTCCCAGTAGGAGCTCAGTTCTGACAATGGCGTGTTGCCCCTCCCTCTTCCTCCTCTGCTCCTCAGATGACAGAGACACAGTTTGTGTTATCCTTTGTTCACCGTTTCCTGGAGGGCCGTGGGGCCACCACCTTCTTCGCCTTCTGCTACCCCTTCTCCTACAGTGACTGCCAGGATTTGCTAAACCAGCTAGACCAGCGCTTTCCGGAGAACCACCCTACCCATAGCAGGTGCCAGCCCCATTCTTACTCCTGCCACACAGTCCTGGATCAGACAGCACCTCCACTACATCTGGAATTTTGCCCTTAGAGCTCTGAACCAAACTTTCATCAGTCTTTTTTTGTATAGAATGTACAGACAGGACTTCGGGTACCTTTGAAAACTATGTTTCTGTATGACCCTGATCTCAGCATATCAACACCTGCCCTCCACTCTTTTACCTGCCCAGTTCAGACCTCTTACTAGCCCAGCTCCCATCAGTTATCCAGAGTTTAGCCAGCACTATGTGACTCAGTACACCTTTTTTATCTGCCCCCACGGAGAACAACTCCAACTACATAAAGTATTCTAGGAAGGCACAAACTGGGGAAAAACAAGTTCACCCTGTCCTGTACTCTTCATTCTGGCAATGTAAGCCCACTCAAATCCTTAGCCTCATTTAACATTGTGAGGGACTATAAGGCCCCAAAGGTTAGGTGAAGGACCAGATTTTGCAAATCCTGGGCTGGTGACAAGGCCTACCTCTTACTAGGACTTTAGGGACTTCTCCTGGCTTAATTATTTTTTCCATGTAGCCCCCTGGATACCATCTATTACCATCGGGAGCTCCTTTGCTATTCTCTGGATGGACTTCGTGTAGATCTGCTGACGATCACTTCCTGCCATGGCCTTCGAGAAGATCGAGAGCCCCGTCTAGAGCAGCTATTTCCTGATACCAGCACCCCTCGACCATTCCGTTTCGCAGGCAAGAGAGTGAGTGGAAATAGCATAAAGGTAGTTCTTTGGCCTTTGTCTAGCATCAGGTACTGTTGATAGCTAAAGACTATGTTATCTCTAGGCATCTTGGACACGGCCTCTGCCGGCAACTTGTGGCAAGGGTGATGGCCCCAGCTCCACTTGCAGACTCAGCCAACTGGAAATCCAGCAGCTATTCCTGCCTCATCCATGACAACCCCCATATACTGTCAAAGTAGAACTATAGTGTAACTGACTTAATGTCTGCTCTCCTCTCTACCTCAGATATTCTTCTTAAGCAGTAGAGTACACCCAGGGGAGACTCCATCTAGCTTTGTCTTCAATGGCTTTCTGGACTTCATCCTCCGACCTGATGATCCCCGGGCCCAAACCCTACGTCGCCTCTTCGTCTTTAAGCTGATTCCCATGTTGAACCCTGATGGTGTGGTTCGGGGACACTACCGGTAAGTGGCTTCCCCAGCCTGTCTGGACTGTTCCCATTCCCCCTCATGCCCTGCATCTCAGTGAAATTCTGTCAGCCTTCTGGCTTCTCCTGTGTTCCCAGTCCTCTTGCATCCTAATAAAGGCAAGCCCATCTCATCTTCCTGAGAAAGCATGAGATCATATCTAGTGGCACTCCCAGAAAGGAACCAAACCAGGATGACTGCAGGCCCATCTGGGTGGAGGCAGCTACCCTGAGGAAGCTCCTTAGGGTTCTATGGGGTAAGGGTGACAGCAGATCAAAGAGAGGCCCTGTCTTCAATTCTTTCTTTCCTAACGCAGCTTCAGTCTCACATTTGATAAGTCAGTCTCCTGTGGTCTCCTTCTCATCTACACTAGTGTCTCCTTCACTGGCCCAGTCCTCTAGAACCTGCTTCAGTCCTTGTTTTCCTACAGCACAGACTCACGTGGAGTGAATCTGAACCGTCAGTACCTGAAGCCTGATGCTGTCCTGCACCCAGCCATCTATGGGGCCAAAGCTGTGCTTCTCTACCACCATGTGCACTCTCGTCTGAACTCCCAGAGTTCCTCTGAGCACCAGCCCAGTCCCTGTCTCCCTCCTGATGCTCCTGTTTCTGACCTGGAGAAAGCCAACAATCTCCAAAATGAAGCTCAGTGTGGGCACTCAGCTGACATAGATAACGCTGAAGCCTGGAAACAAACAGAGCCAGCAGAACAGAAGCTCAACAGTGTGTGGATTGTGCCACAACAGTCTGCAGCGCTTGAAGAGCCAGCCCCTGACACCATCCCCCCCAAAGAGAGTGGCGTTGCTTACTATGTGGACCTGCATGGACATGCTTCCAAAAGGGGCTGCTTCATGTACGGAAACAGCTTTAGTGATGAGAGCACCCAGGTGGGAGTCCTGAGAATGTCATGTGAGTGTGCGAAATGTTGCAGGTTAGGAGATGGGGTTGGGCCATGAACAGAGGGAAGATAGCCTTAGGTAGCCTTCTGGCAGGAAGGCCTGTGTAGACTACCTCTGAAAAAGCTTTGAAGGGCCAAGAAGAGATGGCACAGAGGGCTTATGTCTCAATTGTTACATCATGAACTTTTTTTAAGGGTCAAGCTAACTGCATTATAGTCTTCGCTAGAGTCTGGGAATCCAGAGAAGGAAGATTTTGCATGGTTGGAGGAAAGAAGCTAAAAGCTTTAAAAAAAAAGAATTGCTTCCCAACACTTAGAAGTAATGTCAAACTGAGAATTCAAGCAGCACTGATTACTGTTAATGGTTGTGATGGTATCTGCTGTGTATTAAGTCACACGGTCGCATACTTGCCATCTCTTCCTTGCCCCTTGTCCCTTCTGTCTCTCCTTCTGAGTTGACTTTTCTTCCCCAAACAGGTGGAAAACATGCTGTATCCAAAGCTCATCTCCTTGAACTCAGCCCACTTCGACTTCCAGGGCTGCAATTTCTCAGAGAAGAATATGTATGCCCGAGACCGTAGAGATGGCCAGTCTAAAGAGGGAAGCGGCCGTGTTGCAATCTACAAAGCCTCAGGGATAATCCACAGGTTGGGTGGAAGCTGAGATATAGTTGATGAAATAGCTTCCCTAAAGAAAACAGCTTAGCCGGGTGTGGTGGCGCATGCCTGTAATCCCAGCTACTCAGGAGGCTGAGGCAGGAGAATTGCTTGAACCTGGGAGGCAGAGGTTGTGGCGAGCCGAGATCACACCATTGCACTCCAGCCTGGGCAACAAGAGCGAAACTCCGTCTCAAAAAAAAAAAAAAGAAAACAACACCCGGTTCAGGGTGTTTGAGAGGGAGGGGACCACCTGAGTCTTCTTAAAAGAGAACCTCACAATTAGCATTATTGTCTTTAGTCTAGGACTCTATTTTTGGGGGACTCCCTGGGTATATGATACAGTACCAGGGTCAGCTGCTAGTTGCTATGGATTATTAGCACTTTCATTTGTGTTCACTTTTTTCCAAGTGATTGCCTCCTTAGATCACATAAACTGTTCTCTGTGGTTCTGTCCTGGTATCTGTTCAGGCGGGACACTGATAAAGGTCTTTATGTCTTAGCTACACACTTGAATGCAACTACAACACTGGACGCTCAGTAAACAGCATCCCTGCTGCCTGCCATGACAATGGGCGTGCCAGCCCCCCTCCCCCGCCGGCTTTCCCCTCCAGATACACTGTGGAACTATTTGAGCAGGTATGAATACATGGTGTAAGTGGGAAAAGGGAGAAACCTTATAGCCTGGAAAGGCCTTCACTCCTAATGCCTGACTCTAAGGTCCTCTGAAGAGATATTCATCACTATGGCCCTCTCACCACTATGGTTATTTTCCTCAGTTAACAGGAGCATAACTGTGACTATAATAGTATTGAAAGGATGAACAGGCACTATATCTGACCCCACATCACAGAGAATCCCCTAGCACCTCTGAGTCAGATTCTTTGCCTCTGGGCTTGTCTTTCTCATTCTATTGGGTTTATTAGTTCCTGGGCTCAAAAGCACCCTGACTGCAGTGGTCTTGATGACTCCCATTATCCTAATAGAACTGGCCGGTTGCAGTGGCTCATGGCTGTAATCTCAGCACTTTGGGAGGCTGAGGCAGGCAGATCACCACCTGAGGTCAGGAGTTCGAGACCAGCCTAGCCAATATGGTGAAACCCCATCTCTATTAAAAATACAAAAATTAACTGGGCATGGTGGCACATGCCTATAGTCCCAGCTGCTCGGGAGGCTGAGGCAGGAGAATCACTTGAACCCGGGAGGCAGAGATTGCAGTGAGCTGAGATTGCACGCCACTGTACTACAGCCTGGGCGACAGAGCAAGAATCCGTCTCAAAAAAAAAAAATAGAGCAGAAAGAGCTGCAGGTTACAGAAGGGATTCAAACCCCTTTCCTGCTAGGAGAATTCCTTCATGGTGCCAGCCAGAAAGAAAGGACACACCCTGCCCCTCATAATGGAAGAGGGCCCCCAAATTGGTGGTAGTTTAGGGAATAGCTCCAAATCCATTTGTAATAAACAGCCTGGGCACAAAGGTTAGGGCATCCAATGAGCAAATTATAGGTCTGGCTCCTCCTTCCCTTCCACTGTGCTGTGTACCCACCCCAAGGTAGCAGCCTGGATGGGAGGACCAGCATGCTGAGCCAAACTGGACTACCCCACAGGTGGGACGAGCTATGGCCATCGCAGCTCTGGACATGGCGGAATGTAATCCGTGGCCCCGAATTGTACTGTCAGAGCACAGCAGCCTTACTAATCTTCGGGCCTGGATGCTGAAACATGTACGCAACAGCCGAGGCCTAAGCAGCACTCTGAATGTGGGTGTCAGCAAGAAGAGGGGCCCTCGAACTCCACCCAAAAGTCACAAGTAAGGCCAGCAAAATAGGAGGGAGAAAGGGTAGGACAGTGGGACAGGGCTCTAGAGCTAGGAGTTCCAAGGGATTTATATTCCTTTTCCATCCTCCTTAAAGTGCCAAATGGCAAATAATTTCAGGGTAAATTAAAATTAGTAAGATTAGTTTATTTTTTGAAAATGGGATCCTCTTCCCTTTTACTCTGAGCTACATACATCTAAGAGATCTGAGTATCAGGCTAGGGATTCACTGCTGCAGAGCCCTGCACAAAATCAAATATAATTGCAGTGGGGCAGGCCTCAGCTTCCAACGGTTGTGAATGACTGACTGAAGGGAGTTCAAGGGTCAGTGCCAAGGCAGTAGGGGGAAAATTCATTGGGAGATAAAGCTGCTCAGGGATGGCTGTTACGACATTTTGAGATTAGCTGGTATTCCCCAGATAGATACTTCATCCACGGACATGAATTCCCCACTTTTCCCTTGGAATGGGTCCCTGTACCTTTTTACCCCAGAGGTGAAGCTTTACTGAGCAGCAGATCCTAGGGAAAGCCTTAGGACACAACCTTCCTGGCCCAGGTTTAACTGGCATCTGCTTCTTTGCAGTGGGTTGCCTGTTTCCTGCTCCGAAAACACCTTGAGCCGGGCACGAAGTTTTAGCACTGGCACAAGTGCTGGTGGTAGCAGCAGCAGCCAACAAAATTCTCCACAGATGAAGAATTCCCCCAGCTTTCCTTTTCATGGCAGTCGGCCTGCAGGGCTGCCAGGCCTGGGCTCTAGTACCCAAAAGGTCACCCACCGGGTGCTGGGCCCCGTCAGAGGTAAGCCAGTCTGGGAGCCCCTGCAACATGTGTTTGGTTGTCTGGGACACTGCTGGGGGAAGTAAGAGCTTGAAGATATACTCTTGGCCCAGGACCAAGGGGTGAATCAATAAAATTAGTTTGTAGCAGAACCTGTGGCCTCTCCTACGACCTTGGTGTTCCCTGCGGCATGATTCCAGAGTGGTATTGTGTGTGGCCAGAGGGGGAAGTCTGGGTATCTGGGCTTCAGTGCATGCTAGGAGCCAGGGAAGTTTCCAAGGATGAAACACTAGCTGAAGCAGTGCCAAACAGGACATGGAGCCTCCACGTCAAGGATAATGTCAGTCTGTCTTCATGGGGGCAGTTAAGGGAATGTCCTGAGAATCCAAATTGCAGCACTACAGAATGATGGGGAATCTTATCTGTGGTCTTTATGGGCTAAAATTGTTCCTGGCTTCAGAGCTCACTAAGAAAGTGGTATCAGGCCGGGCACAGTAGCGGCTCACGCTTGTAATCCTAGCACTATGGGAGGCTGAGGCAGTCAGATCACTTGAGGCCAGGAGTTCAAGAACAGCCTGGCCGACATGGTGAAACCTCGTCTCTATTAAAAATACAAAAATTAGCCAGGCATGGTGGTGCACACCTGTAATCCCAGTTACTCAGGTAACTGAGGCAGAAGAATTGCTTGAACCCAGGAGGTGGAGGCTGCAGTGAGCCAAGATCGTACCACTGCACTCCAGCCTGGGCAACAGAGCAAGACTCTGCCTCAAATAAAGAAAAGAAAGTGGTATCAGAAGGATTCTAACTCTTCCAAAGAAAAATGGAACAACTGCAGACAATTTCTTTTCTAGGTATAAAATGCAGCAGTCTAGCTCTTTCCAGCAGTGAGCACAGTTGCTTAACTGTCCATTAGTACCCCCCTGGGTTTTGCCTAATGAAACCCTGCCTGATAAGATTCTGGGTCAAAATTATATACCAGAAACAGATGGGCCTTTCGGGAAAAAGAGGAAATTAACGGGAGTAACCTGGATTGCAAAGGGGAAGAGATTGTTGTAGTGCCACTTCTGGAAATATGCTGAACCACAAATCAATATTGTACTGGCCTCTGCACTACAGAAATCTTGTCCAGAGTATGGAGGCTTGTCAGCTGGGGCTAAGTCTTGCAGCATATTCATCCTTGTTAGCTTTTCCCAGCTTGCACCCTAGCTATTGGTACAGACCAGACATGTGCTGTGTCAGTGGCTGTGTAAATCTGACTGCTAGTGAGAGAAGCCATGGAGGAGAGGGCGATGGTCCTTACCAGCTGTGACCATTGAAATATTCTATCCCTGACAGGCAACTTGATTATCTGCTTGTATTCCAAGCCCCATTGTTTGAGAGTCTATCTTCATTAGGAAAGGACACTTGTGCACTGTGTTTGAAAAATAAAGTAATAATAATGCCTTATATTTACACAGCATTTAACAGTGAACAAGATAATATCACATATATAAATTTCACTTAATCCTCACAAGGACCCTATGGGATGGATGGTGTTTCCATTTTTCCAACAAGGAAGCTGAGGCTATTTAAGAATGGTTTCTCCAAGATTGCACAGCTATTCCAACTTATATCTTCTCATGCTCCAGTATGCCTAGTTTCCCATGGTAAATCTACATAAAGTTCTTCTTCTATTTCTTTTCCTTTCTTTTTTTGAGACGGAGTTTCGCCCTTTCACCAAGGTTGGAGTGAAGTGGTGCAATCTCAGCTCACTGCAACCTTCCACTCACTGGGTTCAAGCGATTCTTCTGCCTCAGCCTCCTGAGTAGCTGGGATTACAGGCGCCCGCCACCACACCCAGCTAATTTTTGTATTTTTAGTAGAGATGGGGTTTCGCCACGTTGGCCAGGCTGGTCCTGAACTCTTTACCTCAAGTGATCCACCAACCTCAGCCTTCCAAAGTGCTAGGATTACAGGCATGAGCCACTGTACCCAACCTCTTTCTTTTTTGGTCAGCCTCTTCTAGCTCTTAACTCATAGTTCCTGGGAATACCTTCATCAGCATCCTAAGTTCTTCTTTCCTCACTACAAAGGGAAATAGTAAAGAGCCTTTTTTAGGTTGTCACTGGAATATTCTAGGCCCCTCTTTTTATTTGAGACAGTTTCGCTCTGTTACCCAGGCTGGAGTGCAGTGGTGCAATCTCGGCTCACTGCAACCTCTGCCTCCTGGGTTCAAGCGATTCTCCTGCCTCAGCCTCCCAAGTAGCTGGGATTACAGGTACCCACCACCATGCCCAACTAATTTTTTGTATTTTTAGTACAGATGGGGATTCACTATGTTTGCCAGGCTGGTCTCGAACACCTGACCTGAGGCGATCCACCGCCTCAGCCTCCCAAAGTGCTGGGACTACAGGCATGAACCACTGTGCCCGTCTAGGCTTTTTTTCTTTTGAGATGGAGTTTCGCTCTTGTTACCCAGGCTGGAGTGCAATGGCGCGATCTCGGCTCACCACAACCTCCGCCTCCCAGGTTCAAGTGATTCTCCTGCCTCAGCCTCCTGAGTAGCTGGGATTACAGGGATGCGCCTTGACGCCTGGCTAATTTTTTTTTTGTATTTTTAGTAGAGACAGGTTTCTCCATGTTGGTCAGGCTGGTCTCAAACTCCTGACCTCAGGCGATCCACCCGCCTCGGCCTCCCAAAGTGCTGGGACTGCAGGCGTGAGCCACTGCGCCTGGCTAGGCACTTTTTAATCACTATTTTATTGACATCCTCCCTGCCCCGCTTCCAATGCACAACACTGCATTGAGCTCCTTGAGGTGAAGGACATGTATTCTATTTCTCTGTTACTTCCCCCTACCAATAGAAAATATGCACAGTCAGTACCAAGTAATTCCTGGTTGACTGACTTGAAACTTAATAGGGGAAACAGGACAGTAAATACAACATGAGAGCGCACACACACTGTAAACATCCTGGGGGTTTGGGGAACTACTGTGGTAGATAAACACAAGAGTAATTAACCGAATAATGTTCCGTTAAGAAATAATTTGAAAAATAGGTAGCCAATAGTTTGACAGAAACATTCCCAAAGTGAGAAATGACAGCCAGGAGCAGGAACAGAGCTGGTGGGTGGAGAGGACAAAAAACATGTATATCTAGGTGGGTATGCAAAAGGCCAAGCCCATCACCAAGGAGATTAGGTGAAGAGAGAATTAGCTGAAATGTCTTGAGAACAAGGATTATGAGCTTAACTGAGACAATGGCAACAATTGTGTGTGTCTACGAATGGGAATAAACCTAAGACTGCGTAAGACACTGTCTATGAACTGTACATATTGGACAGGAAACGGGAGGTGAGATGACCAGAGCCAGTACCAGTATCTGGAAAGGAGAGATAAGTATTAGAAAGAGAAGTGGCAGGATTCAGTAGAAGACAGAGGAATTAAGAGGGCTTTAAGGCTACTTTTTCCACTGTAAACAAAAGCTTCAGGAAGTGTCTCCTAACACGTGTACTTATGCCCTTGGCACCTAGTCCTATGCCTGGCACTTAGCGATCAGCAAGTATTTGTTGAATGAATAAAAAGCAAGAAGTTGGGAACCAAATGAATGCTTGTCTCACCTTTCTACCCCTCAGAGGACATAAATCAGGTCTGTGATTGTCCCAGGGATTCACTGAGATCTGGAGTGCTACATGGAAGGACAGTTGCAAAGATGTTCAGGGAGGATGACACACAGGGTCTTGGCACAAGTCAAATAACTGCTGCTGTAAATGGCGAGACCTTAGAACACCCATTCTGACTAATTCAGGGGGAGGTCAGTCTCTCCTCAGACCTCTCAGACCTTTGCCCAGTACTATCCTACCACCCCCAAAATGGAACATCTGGCTGGTTACCATAAGATACCATTTCATAACCCCTGGAAGCAGAGCTGATCACGTCACTCTTGCACTCTTGCTTTTTCTTTCTCGCTTGCTTTTACCCTTTCCTGGGGTAGGGTGAAGGTTTGTCCCTTAATATGGTTTCAACATGCCTCTGCGTGTAGATGTTTCTCAAATTATCTAAACTACTTCCTCTATCAAGTTCATGATTTCTGCCTACTGTGCACTGTCAACTGGACATCATCCTGACATCCATTTTAATCACAGAATTACTTGGTTTTGGGCCCTAGACTATCTCTGTCATTGGTGGTAGCTAATGTTTTAGGTTATTTGACTATGGCCACAAGTCTCGATTTCTGATATCCTATTGGCAACCTGTGCCAACTCTCACTAGCCCCCTAACATCTGGTTGTTTCTGATTCTTTTTTTGAGACAGTCTCAGTCAGTCACCCAGGCTGGAGTGCAGTGGCGTGATCACAGCTCACTCCAACCTTTGTGTCCCTGGCTCAAGTGATCCTCCAGCCTCAGCCTCCCTAGTAGCTGGGCCTACAGGTGCACACCACCATACCTGGCTAATTTTTTTTTTTTTTTTTTTTAAAGTAGAGACGGGGCTTCACCAAGTTGCCCAGGCCGGTCTCAAGCTCCCAGACTCAAGTGATCCAGCCGCCTCAGCCTCCCAAGGCGCGTGAGCCACTGTGCCTGACGTTTTTGACTCTTGACCACCGTCTTAACCTATAATTGGTACCCAGCATATCTCCTCATAGTAGCTTCCATCCTGAGATCTCTCCCTTTCTTCTTTATTCATACAAGTAGGTTTTTTTTCCATTCAGATTTTTTTTTTACCATTTTGTTTTGGAACCTTTTTTTTTTAGACACAGTCTCACTCTGTCTCCCAGGCTGGAGTGCAGTAGCCCATCTCAGCTCACTGCAATCTCTGCCTCCCAAGTTCAGGTGATTCTCCTGCCTCAGCCTCTGGAGTAGCTAGGATTACAGGTGCCCACCACCACGCCCGGCTAATTTTTTGTATTTTTAGTAGAAACGGGGTTTCTCCACATTGGTGAGGCAGGTCTTGAACTCCCGACGTCAGGTGATCCGCCTGCCTCGGCCTCCCAAAGTGCTGGGATTACAGGTGTGAGCCACCATGCCTGACCTGGCTTGGACCTTTCAAAAGTATTCTTGTCACTGCCTGCTAATTCCCAGTGTGGCTGGGAAGATGAAGTTACTGTCACTTCTTAAGTTACAGGATTTTCATATCCAACACGTTTATTAACGGTCAGTTGGCATGCTGGCACCTCTGGTGAATTCAGTTCTATGAAAAGTTAATAGCCCATTGGTTTGAGAGCATTTGGCACCTGCTGTTCCTCTGTGATGAGGAAGGACATGCCAAAGCTGCAAGCCTCCCCACCCCATCCATTTACCATCTGCCCCCCCGGGCCCCACCCTTCAGAACTTGTAGTAGTTTAAGTCTCTAGACATGAGTGGAGCAGAGACAGCTGCCCCAAAGGATATAACTGTATGCTTTAGACTCCTAGAGATGATTGATCCAGCTCATGGTGTATAGTGGGTGTCTGCTGTTCAAGTAAACAAAACATTGATAAAGGTCTCTGGTTTTTCAGGCAGTATTTTACAGGCACTGTGATATATAGTGTTAGAGGCAACAAAATCCCTACTCCCAAGAAACTCAAGTTCCAGTTAGAAAAAATACTAGCTTATGTTTATTGAGTCCTCTGTGCCTGTAAGTACTTTACACATGCTAACTTAATTAAACAGAAACCATAAACTACTAGCCACACAAACAAAGAATGAAGATAATGAGGAGAGAACAATTAATGCTGCCTGTAATGGTCAAGTAAGCTTCAGAGAGGTAACATTTGAGATGGTACATGAAAGACGGTCACGATTTCATTAGAAAAGGTAATAGTTCCAGAGGAACCACACCCAACTAATAGCCATAGGGTCTATAGCAGAGGGTATGAAGAATCAAATCAGCATCCTACTAAGGATGTGTACACTGGAACTATAGTGGGCAAGGCTTTGAATGTGTAGTAGTCAAAAGTTTAGACTTCATCCTTTAGAAGATCTTCAAGCCCAGTGCAATGGCTCACACCTGTAATCCCAGCACTTTGGGAACTGAGGGAGGAGGATCGCTTGAGCCCAAGAGTTCTAGACCAGCCTGGGCAACATGGTGAGACTCCATCTCCACAAAAAATTTAAAAATTAGCTGGGCTTGGTGGCATGCGCCTGTTGTCCCAGCTACTTGGGATGCAGTGAGCAATGTTCATGCTACTGCACTACAGCCTAGGTGACAGAGTGAGACCCTGTCTCCAAAAGAAAAGAGAAGTCAGGTGAATGCAGAGATAGAATTGTAGGATTTGATTATACAAATGCAAATCTAAGGAGGAGTAGGAAGATGAAACAAGTTTCTAGCAGTTGCGTTTTGCATGAAGACAGGGAGAATGAAAGAAAGGGAGAGAATGAGTTTTGTTTTGTCAAGGGGACTTTCTTGGGAAGAAATTTCCAGTGGACAATTAGAGCTGGATTTCAGGAGAAAAGGGCTAGAGACTGACTTGGGAGTTTAAGAGTAAGTAGAGCAAGAGAGGCTCAAGGACAGAATGATGGGGGAAGACTTGACACTTAAGGGGCAGGAAGAACAGCTGGAAGAGAAGCAATTAGTCGTAAGAGGGGAACCAAGGAAATCTGTGTTAGCCAAGCTCACTAACTTCTTTGCCAAAAGAATGAACTGGGCCAGGTGCGGTGGCTCATACCTGTAATCCCAATACTTTGGGAGGCCAAGGTGGGTTGATCTCTTGAGCCTAGGAGTTGAAGACCAGCCTGGGCAACATGGCAAAACCCCGTCTCTACTAAAAATACAAAAATTAGGCTGGGTGTGCTGGCTCACACCTGTAATCCCAGAACTGTAGGAGGCCAAGGTGGGCGGATCACAAGGTCAGGGGTTCGAGACCAGCCTGACCAACATGGTGAAACCCCGTCTCTACTAAAAATACAAAAATTAGCCAGGCATGGTGGCACGCGCCTGTAATCCCAGCTACTCAGGAGGCTGAGGCAGGAGAATCACTTGAACCCGGGAGGTGGAGGTTGCAGTGAGCCAAGATCGCACCACTGCACTCCAGCCTGGGCGACACAGCAAGACTCCATCTCAAAAACAAAACTTTAAACAAAAATTAGCTGAGCATGGTAGTGTGCACCTATAGTGCCAGCTACTCAGGAGGCTAGGTAGGAGGATCACCTGAGCCTGGGAGGTTGAGGCTGCAGTGAGCCATGATCGTGCCATTGTGCACTTCTTCAGCCTGGGTGACAGAGTGGAAACCTTTTATCAAACAACAACAACAACAACAAACTGGCAGGATGAAGGCTGGTGGAGAATGGATAACTGTAATAAACAGTAGATCTTTCTACCCATCTTATATTAATAGTTACTTCAGGAGAGGGATGCGGGTCTGATGACAAGCTTGAAAAACAGCATATTTTGACCAGGGAAGCCAGCAAGTCAGTGAAGGCTGCCTCATAATGCCCCACTTATTTGCCCTTTTATCTGCTTGTATCTCTTCCACTCAGAGCCCCGAAGCCAGGACAGGAGACGGCGGCAGCAGCCACTGACCCATCGCCCTGCAGGCAGCCTTGCTCCATCCCCAGCTCCTACTAGTTCTGGCCCAGCCTCCTCACACAAGCTGGGCTCCTGTCTACTGCCCGATTCACTCAACATACCAGGTCTGTACCCGCTGCCACTGAAATCTGGGTTTGCCAGCCTCCTCCGTGGCCAGCCCAGGTTCTTTAAGCCTAGTTGGGAGACCAGCGGCATCAGTTATCCTCTTGGTATCCTAAACCTCTAACACTGGTGCCTTTGTGTAGGAAGCTGGAATTGATTAGTCTTCGTGTAATAAAACAATAGTTAACATTTATTGAACATTTACTATGTGCCAGGCACTGCTCTACACATTTAATCTCATTTAATCCTCATTTTTACAGTTGAGGAACCTGAGGACTTTTTGTCTACCTGCAAAGTGCTACTTACGCAAATTCCCTGACTCCAGGAGCTGGGCAACATTAGACAAAACAGGAGAATGAAAAAAGCATGACAGGTCTTTCTCCTGTCAACACTGCTAAATGTTGTGTGCAGCCGTATCATTCACACAAAACTTAAGCCATCTCTTCTCCTTTAAATTACAGACCCAGCTATATAAAGAAATGGATGGGAATGATTTTAAGATTGTAGTCCAACATGTTCTACCTCACTCAAAGACCCCTACTCCCAACCTGTCTACTCTCCTCAATGGGTAGCACTGAACCCACCAGTCCTGGGTAGAGCTGACTTGATCCTCAAATGCTAAACATATGATTGGGGTAGGCCCTGCGGCCTATAAATTGACACAGGATTTAAGCTTGGGTACATTCCGATTCTAGCCTGGAGTTGCTGCTCCACCCCTTGGACCAGACTAGAGCCTCAACCCGGGGTGAGTTTGCTGCCCAGGCAACATCTGGAGACATTTTTGGTTGTTACACTGAGGAGGGAGATGAGGAAACAGCATATATTGTTTAGAGACTAAGAATGCTACTAAACATCCTACAATGCACAAGACTACTCCCCAGAATTATGCCACCCAAAATGTCAACGTGCCAAGGTTGAGAAACCCTGATCCTTTGGAAGTTATCTCCTCTTCTCTGTGACCCCTACCCTGATCAGTTTCCTCTGTTCCCTAGGGAGCGGCTGCTCACTCTTGTCCTCCGGGGACAAACCAGAGGCCGTCATGGTAATCGGGAAAGGTCTGCTAGGGACTGGAGCTCGGATGCCCTGCATCAAGACTCGATTGCAGGTAATATTTTTGGGTCTTCAGCACAACTACTCTGGCAGAACTCAGCAAGGCACTGTTCCTCTGGGTAGTGGGAGGGAAAATGCTCAGCACTGCTTTACTGCCTCTACGCTTGGCCACATCAGAGAGCTTCTCTGGTACCTGAGTGCCTGTCTGTCCAGTCCCCTTCCTGCCCTCCACCATCCCCATCAGCCAGGTCATTTGCTTGCTTTCAACCTGTCCCTGCCAGATGTACCCCAACTTCAGCCTGCTAGCTTTGGCTTTCCCTGCCCCTGCCCTTAGCTTCTCCTCTCTTTCTGCCCAGACCTGCCCGAGGAGAGTTTCCGCCAGGAGGGGTCCCGGATTCCCCAGGTAACACATTTGGTTGCTGCTGCTAGGAACAGCCCTGCCACCAACTCCGATTCAGTCCAGATCCCCATGCTAGGTAAAGTTGAGTACAGGCAGAAGCTGACTGGATGGGTGAAGTGTACAGTGCTCTGGCAGGGGCTGAGGCATAGAGGGCTCTGAGAGAGGTCTACCAACCCTCACTATCTTTCTACACAGTGTTTCTCTACTCACCCAGACCTTAGTCATGGTATAGCCATGGCGGTTAAATGCTGGATCTGTTTGCCACCCCTAGTTATAGACTTGGAGTGCACAGTCATGGACTGAATCCAGGACTTCTCTGGCTATTATCGTGCCTCACCCTCTCAGCTAGAATTCAATGTCCCAGTACCTCTACTGATCCCTATACTACAACACTCTAATGCATGGAAACTCTAGAAGCAAACTAAAAGCAAAAAAACTCATGGAAGAATCTAGCCTCTTAGCACAAACCCTGTCCACACAGGCTAGGCCCAGGTTGGGCCGGGGCTCACCGCCGACTCGCAGAGGGATGAAAGGCTCTTCAGGCCCCACATCCCCTACCCCCCGGACCAGGGAGAGCAGTGAGCTGGAGCCGGGACCCTGCTCTGCTAAACCAGGGTGAGCACTTGGGTCCAGTCCCTCACCCCACCCCTCACTTCTGTCCCCTCATTCCCATTTCTGTCATTCAGAATAATTTTCTGCCTTCCCTACTCCTTTTGAGCACAAAGACTAAATGTACTTTCATTAAGAATCTAGTCCCTGATTTTTTTTTCCCCCACCATGGCCACAGTCTTCAATCCAAAGGAAAAGAAAACAACTTTTAGTTAGGGCCTAAGGCCTAGGAGCTGGCTGGTTCCAGCAAGAGACCACTGTGCAGTAACCAACTTGCCCATCCTTACCCATCTTCATCTTGCTTCACTTCTTTCACTTCCCAGCCCCTGGTTAGCAGAACAGAAGAGGAGCAGAGTTTTCATAGCCCTGATTCCTCTCTCTTCTCTGTTGCAGGCTGCCTCAGGCCAGGCCCCCACGGCCCCGCTCTGCCCCTGCCTTTTCTCCTATATCCTGTAGTCTGTCTGACTCCCCATCCTGGAATTGTTACAGCGGGGGTCCCTTGGGCCAACCTGAGGTTTGTTTTGTCCCTAAATCTCCCCCACTCACTATTTCTCCCCGGGTCTGATAATGCCTTTATGTTGAAGCCCAAGATATAGCCCCAAGATGGGGTAACACGTGGGAAATATGCTAGTTCCCCTCCAGGCCGCTGATTCCATGTGACAGCCGTTAAGTCCTTGGAATGCCAGCCACGCTGTCCAAAGCATTAAAGAGCAGCACCTTGAGACAGAACAAAACAGGGACCTGCCACCCCTTCCTTCCCTCCACAGCACAAGATTTTGGGACCACAAAAAAAAATCTATATTTTTATATTGGGGGGAGGGAGTAGAAAAGCAAGCCCCTATACTGGGCCCTATTCAGTGGCAGCTTCTTGTTCCATAGGATTAAGGAAGACTTTGAGGAAATAAAAGTTGTTTGGAAAAATCCAGGTGTAGTTGCTTTGTATGTTGTGATGGGTAGAAGGGATGAAGTGAAGTGTGAAGGCCCCTCATACCCTCCATCTTGCCTCAGACTATGTCCTGGAACCCTAGAAAAGAGGGGGAAAGACCTGAGGTAAGGAAAATGCTGCAGCTTTCCTCCGGGGATTCCTTCAGGAAGTAACGTCTATCCATATTCCCTTTATACTTGTGACCCACACTTCAGGCTGGCTCCAAAGCCCCCCCTTCCTTCTCTATAGCTTGGGTCAGCAGCCAACCCCTGGCCTCAGAACATGGAAACAGAATTCTACATCTGTCACCCCCTCACCAAAAACATTCTGCCCAAATGAGGTCTAAACAACCTGGGGAAAGTGGGAGCTATTTAAGAGCCCAAATCCTTATACTTGGATGGTACCCTCGGTACCTTCGTTCCTACCGGTGTCAGTGCCTCCTTACAACTATACTCCCAACTTGGGCATCTACCTATTGAGGACAAGATGGGGACTGTGAGGGTTAGGAAACCCACTCCCATTCTAGCAGGGAACAGTTTACAGGGAGGGGACAGCGCGCTCTCTACTCTGTGCAGATAAAGGGGACCAGTTCTGGACTGTATCACGCTTGGCCCGACACTTTGATTGGAAGTTTCGAACCCTGCTACCCCTGGCGCGGCCTCGCCACTCAGCTCTGGGGGCTGGGCGCTACAGCCCCGGGCCGTTACCTGGGGCGGAGAAAGCGCCACTTTCATTCCTGCTTCTTGGGATTGTTGACGGCCACGTAGTGATAGAGAACAACAAGCAAGAAGAGCGACACGCCCAGCATGTTGGCGAAGATGGCGAGCTGCACGTCGGTGATCATCCTGCGGAGGAGAGAGGGGCTGAGCCGCGCGGGCTGGCGCACTCCTCGCCCTCGCAAGGACCCGTCCTTGCCCCACGGGCCGGCCACGGCCACGGCGGGACTAGCCCCCGGGACGGCGCCTGCGTGCCTCTCACCTGACCAGTCCGGCTCGGCTCCGACGCCGCCAGCGAACAAGCCCGAGGTAGGAGACCTGGACCGGAACTTCGTAGCGCCAACTCAGGCCCGAACCAGCCGCTTCCGGCGGGGGGCGCGGTCGGGACGGCCTCTCTAGCCCCACCGTCTCGTCGGCTCCGCGCGGCGCCCTACGGCCGCGACTGGGGCGGGGCCACGGGCGCGCCTGCGGTGGGAGGTCCAGCCGTAGGGGGTGGGGTGGGGCCGCGGACGCGCGCCTGGGCCGGGCACGGCACAGCTGGTCGCAGCTGGCGTGGCTCGGGAAGCGGCTAGCGAAGCCGTGGTGGCCGCCTCCCCAGGGCGGAGGAGTGGGCTGGGGCGAGGGTGCAGCGGCGGGGCCGGCGGGATACTCCAACCCCCTTCCGGCCCCGGCCCTCGGTACTGCTGCCCACCCTTCGCTTCCCGGCCCGGCCCAACCAGGTGCTTCCTTTGGGCCCTGCCCTCAGTGCCCTCTCCCTGGCTCGGGCGGCGGGGACAGGAGTGGGAGGCGTTGTAGAATGGGGACAGGGCTGGGGCTGCCGGGTGCTCCTTTCTCCGGCGCCAACCTTTGTGACCCACATGCAACCAAGTAGAACCATCCTGCCTTTTGTGATCTGACCAGGATCTTAGCCGGGCTCCCTCCCTCCACGCTACCCCTGGAGCTGGGCGTCGGAAATAGGGCGGACCCTCCCGGAATCAAAACCCAAACCGTGGGACTTCGGCCAAGTGGGAAATCACCCCCCGGATGTGAGGGAGGGAGAAGGGGAGAAATGGAGAAGGGGAGGAAGGGCTGGGACAAGCAAGGGTCCTGGGTTCAGAACAGATTAGGTCGCCGAAGAGAACGAAGAGCGGTGGCTGCGGGTACCCGAGGGTCTCTGGCGAGGGGAGAGGCACCCTGGAACTCTCCAAGCCTCTGCCCAGCCAGAACTTTCTCCCCCCTCACTCCATGCTTTCTCTCAACTTCACCATAAAAGGGAACGGCACCGAGCCAGGCCGGGGCCGGGGGCTGGGCTGTTGCTCTGGAGCTGTCAGGGGTAATGGAAGCCAGTTGCTTTGCGGTAGAGGGGGGCCAGGGCTCAGGGGAGGCCTCTGCTTCTCGGAGCCAAAGAAAACTCTACAGGAGATGCTATGAGCTTGGGACAGGGGACCAGTTTGCCGCCCGTGTGCACGGAGCTGGGGATGCACTATCCCAAAGTGGCTTCCCTGGTCTGGGACCATCAACAGTTTGTCCCCCAGGGCTTCAGCCCGGTGACTCCTAAACATAATCCCTGCCTTTAGTAGTCTGTAGTTCCCCTGGCCTCCCCCCACCTCACCACCACCTCACCACCAGCCCCCACTCAATATTTCCCAGAAGCTTCATATTTAGAAAGCCGAGTCCCCTCCACATAACACTGGTGAAACCCCAGACAGGTACTCCCTTATGCATCTCTCAGTTAGCAGTCTGTTTCCAGCTCCCCTCTGGGAGAGTAAGGGTCTAGGTCTTAAGGATTACACATCATTATGCTTCATGTCTCCTGGAAATTTGAAGCAGATCCAAGTCCAACCAAACACTTGGGTCTACTGTTGAATCAGAACTAGCCCTCCCTTTTAAAAATAAGCTCTACCTTTAGGCCGGCCCTGGAAGTTAAACTTTCTAGACTGAAAATGACATGAAAGAAAGCCTTGGAAGTGCTTAAAACCAATTGACCCAGGTGCATAGTATTCTAGACTATCAGAGCCGAAAGGGGCCTTCAGAATCATGAAGAAGGAAACTGGCCAGGCATGGTGGCTCATACCTGTAGTCCCAACATTTTGGGAAGCCAAGGTGGGTGGATCACCTGAGGTCAGGAGTTCGAGACCAGCCTGGCCAATATAGTGAAACCCCGTCTCTAGTAAAAATACAAAAATTAGCTGGTAGTGCACGCCTGTAATCCCAGCTACTCAGGAGGCTGAGACAGGAGACTTGCATGAACCCAGGAGGCAGAGGTTGCAGTGAGCCGAGATTGCACCATTGCACTCCAGCACTCTAGTCTGAGCAACAGAGACCGACCCTGTCTCAGGAAAAAAAAAAAAAAAGGGAAGAAAACTGAGGCCCAGCAGGTAATTGATTTCACCAAGTTTCTACAAACTGGTGAAAGAGCAGTGTCACCTCTTCCTCCTACCTCCACTCCATGTTCCAGGTCAGACTGGACTCAGTAGGTTGTCCTAGGGTTAGGCACAAGAGGGAAAGGATTTATTTTAGGACCACCCAGAAATTCATTCACCTCACAGAACTTCCTGTGCCTAGGTCAGTGAGTCTTTATCAGCCTTGAATGGGTCATTTGGCCCAGTGCCTAGAAGAACTGAAACAAAAAACAGTCTATGAGACTGAACTAGACTTAACTAAGAACAGACATATCTCGAACCAAGCTTGGATAGAAAACTATTTGGGAAGTGAGACAGGCACAGCCTCATCCTGGGGGGATTTGGGAGGATGTGGAGGGAAATGACTGGGGGGCACTTGTGGAGCTCAATCTCTGTGATTAGTGTGACATTTTCAAGGAAAGGACTGGCCAGAATTAGGCTCAGGAGTGAGAAAGCAACAAGACCCAGGAGAAGGGGGACTGGGTTCAGGGAGGTGGGCTACTAAAGTATTAAACCTGGAGGAAGAGCTAAAAGGAAAAGTAAAGTGTATCTCTTTGGAGAAAAGTGGGCTTTTGCTCAAGACTCCCCACAAACTTGAATTCCCATGTGGATTGGCATGACCCAAGGTCCAAATCACCTTTTTTTTTTATTTTTTATTTTTTAATTTTTGATATGAGTCTCGCTCTGTCACCCAGGCTGGAGTGCAGTGATGCAATCTCAGCTCATTGCAACCTCTGCCTCCCAGGTTCAAGCGATTCTCCTGCCTCAGCCTCCTGGGTAGCTGGGATTACAGGAGTGTGCCACCACGCCCAGGTAATTTTTGTATTTTTGGTAGAAACGGGGTTTCACCATGCTGGCCAGGCTGGTCTCCAGCTCCTGACCTCAAGTGATCCTCCTGCTTTGGCTTCCCAAAGTGCTGGGATTACAGGCGTGAGCCACAGCACCAGGCCCCAAATCGTATTATTCCCCCATTTTCCCTCTCAATATTCAATCCTCTGACAGAGAGGCTAGACATAAAATGCTTCTTATTGCTGGTGCCCACGGCTGTCCTGACCCTGGTCATGAACTCATTGCTCAGTCACTGAAGCTGAATGAATGAGTTAATTGCCTCGTAGGGCCAATTGGCACTAGATCCTTGGAAATTACCCAATTTGGAGAGGTTGTAAAATAGATCATGTCCTAGTGCCACCAGGAACTTAGCTTTTTGGGGGGTCAAGAACTCTTACCAATTGCTTTGGAAATTTATGGCTGCCTGCCAATACCACCACAAGAATGTCACTGCCACCATCACCACTACCACTGCACTCTAACTTTAGTCTCCACTGCAGCCTGTTTGCCCACTCAAGCCAGCAAGGGGAAGCGTCCTCCCTGGTGAACTCAGAGCCACTGATACCTTTGTGATTTCACAAACATTCATGACAGTTCCTAGGTCTTGTCTCCTAATTACATAAAAGCAAATGAAATGCAACCTACTGCAACTATATTTCAAAGCCAATATTTTTTACTTGATACACTTAAATTATACACAGATTTTTGAACTTCAGAGTGTAGGAGAGGGAATGGGTAACAACTGGGCAGTGACAAGATGGCTGGGGTGACTTTTCAGGTTGCGAGAGGCCTCCTAAGGGCAAGGAGAGGGAGAAGAGCAGAGAAAGAAAACCCAGAGCAGCAGCTGGGGCAATCTGGAGGGGAAGTGGGTTGGCTTCCTGCCAGGGCCAGAGCCAGAGTCTGGAGACCAGGGACAAATCTGCAGCCTTCCACTGACAACTTCTTTGAAATTGGGATCTCCTGTGAACATTTCCTTCAAATCTCCCTGTGTGCTGATACCCAGGGCTCTAAGGGGCAACTACAAATTTCCGTTTCTGTTTGTTCCAGCATTTTCACCACCACCCC